CAGTCAGCCAGCCAGTCAGTCAGTTAGCCAGTCAGTCAATCAGTCAGTTAGTCATTTAGCCAGGCAGCAAGACTATCCCTGCAAAAACACCACTTAATGTTGTCAATACGTCAAGGACATCTCCCTGTATGGGTTCTGGTGCCCCATTTGGGGGGAGGGGGGAACAAACCCACTGTCTCCCTTAAAAAAAGGTGAATAATTAGGTTGTCTGCTGAAATTTGATTGATGTGTTGGGCTAAAGGGTACCAATGTCACAACCTAGTTGTAAACAACAACATAACCTACCGACAGCCCTTTTAGGGGCAAATGCTAAAATAAAACATGCTGTTCATTATCATCAACATGTGCAGTGCCAAAAGGGTCTGTCTTCTAGGCTCGTGACAAGTCAAATGTTATTTCCCCTGTTTCTCTGCCCACCCAACTATAACGTTGATTTCTGTTACTACCCAGCTCTCTCATTTTTACTCTTCTGTTAGCCTTCTTTGGATATTCTCTCCTGGGTATGCCAGTGTGTTGGGAAATAAACAGGCAGACAGATTAGCTGATTCTGCACCACCCACTGGTAAACTGATGCATGACAAAGTAGATTTTGTAAGGGTCTTTTGGGAGCAAGTAAACAGTGCGAAGGCGCAAACAGATTATCATGGTCTGAGAAGAATGGTTTAGTGTCCAAGGGATCTGGCTGACACTCTAAGAAGAATGGTTTAGTGACCAAGGGATCTCGCTGACACTCTAAGAAGAATGGTTTAGTGACTAAGGGATCTGGCTGACACTCTAAGAAGAATGGTTTAGTGACCAAGGGATCTGGCTGACACTCTAAGAAGAATGGTTTAGTGACTAAGGGATCTGGCTGACACTCTAAGAAGAATGGTTTAGTGACTAAGGGATCTGGCTGACACTCTAAGAAGAATGGTTTAGTGACCAAGGGATCTGGCTGACACTCTAAGAAGAATGGTTTAGTGACCAAGAGATCTCGCTGACACTCTAAGAAGTATGGTTTAGTGTCCAAGGGATCTGGCTGACACTCTAAGAAGAATGGTTTAGTGACCAAGAGATCTCGCTGACACTCTAAGAAGTATGGTTTAGTGTCCAAGGGATCTGACTGACACTCTAAGAAGAATGGTTTAGTGACCAAGGGATCTGGCTGACACTCTAAGAAGAATGGTTTAGTGACCAAGGGATCTGACTGACACTCTAAGAAGAATGGTTTAGTGACCAAGGGATCTGACTGACACTCTAAGAAGAATGGTTTAGTGACCAAGGGATCTGGCTGACACTCTAAGAAGAATGGTTTAGTGACTAAGGGATCTGGCTGACTCTCAACACTCAGGGGAGGGACAAGACAGATATACAATGAAACAGTTACTTAAACCACTAGAACTGGAACTTTGTGCCTGCTGCTGAAGATGGCGATGGAGCGCTTCAGTGAATATCACAGTAGTATGATGCCACTTCTTAATTCACAACTCGCATCACTCATAATCTTCCCTGTTATTATCGCCTTTTGAGATTCTCTCGTCATTTCAAAAAAAATTATGAAGGCAAATAATAACAACACAATTAAAATATTGCACAATTTATTTGCCTGGCATATTTCATTTATCGCAGAGGCATACTACAGAATTTACATCATCACATAATAAAGCGAAAAAAATGAATCCTTTCAACAGAAATACATATAGTCTTCACTACACTAATCTCACCATGGAAGTCTTAGATTAACAATGTGATCCTTTTGTGTGCATAACATGGGATTGCTCATCTTTAATCTAACAGCTTCAGCATATTTCAAAAGATGTATTTTCTGTGTGTGAAGAGTAATCAGAAAGGCACAATCCATAAGAGTCATGTGCTCAGAGCAAAGCTAACAAGATACAGCCCAATATGCGAGGAAATAAACTGTGCCATAAATTATCTGTGGGTCCGGCATTTAAATTCACGACTGAAAAACATTTGTTTTGAAAGAAATTTGAAGCCACTGATAAACGCGTTCCTCTGTTTGCATAACCTTGTGATTATAAGCAGACAGTTGTATCAGTTACTCTATGAATATGATAACAAAGATCAAAACTGCACACAAAGGAAGAAAATGGTTTCAGTCATAACAAAGAGCAACATTTCTATCTATCAATTTTATCTTCGTCCCAAAAAATGCTTCAGTTAAAAGATGTAAGAGAGTAGATGCCCTTGAAAGCAGTGCCACCCTAGGAAGTGCATATTTATTGGACAGAATGGATATAATTTTCTTCTTCTTCTGCGTTCATCTTCAGATGTAAATGTTCTGTGCTTGTTTTACAGCATGGCTGTGACATTTCCACCTTTCAGCCAACACATCTGACTTCTGCAGTCATTTGTTGCCAAGTTAGCTTTCCCAGGAATGGTTATAATCGATGCTACACAAGAGACACTGGTGTGATGTTGACCACATCGCCTATTGAGACAACTGGTCTATAAAATAAAGGTCTAGCCCTATATGCCCAATAAGCCTGATAATGTGGAAAAGGATCTTTTACTTACTTACTGCATTTCTATTCAAGATAAAAATATCAATGTTTTTTCTTTGAAGAGGATGCAAAATCTGGAAATACCAATGGGAGCACATAGGTTAGTTGCGTATCCTTTACATGACAATGCAGAACCAACCCCATCAGCTCCTGGCTGTTGTGTGGTTTCCCTAGGCAAATTTACGTCCAGTAGTTTGCCATTGTTTTCTGGACAGTCGGCCCCCTGATATCACTGTTGAAACCAACACAAGGCGTATGGTCCGCAGCTGGAATCGAACCCGGTCAATGGGAGCAACAGGATGTAAAAATCACAGTCGCTACATCAGGTGATTCAGAACTGGAGGCATCAGTGTAAATACCTACATCAGGTGATACAGAACTGGAGACATCAGTGTAAACACCTACATCAGGTGATACAGAACTGGAGACGTCAGTGTAAACAACTACATCAGGTGATTCATAACTGGAGATGTCAGTGTAAACACTACATCAGGTGATACAGAACTGGAGATGTCAGTGTAAACAACTACATCAGGTGATTCAGAACTGGAGATGTCAGTGTAAACAACTACATCAGGTGATTCATAACTGGAGATGTAAGTGTAAACACTACATCAGGTGATACAGAACTGGAGATGTCAGTGTAAACAACTACATCAGGTGATTCAGAACTGGAGATGTCAGTGTAAACAACTACATCAGGTGATTCAGAACTGGAGATGTCAGTGTAAACACTACATCAGGTGATACAGAACTGGAGATGTCAGTGTAAACAACTACATCAGGTGATTCAGAACTGGAGATGTCAGTGTAAACACTACATCAGGTGATTCAGAACTGGAGATGTCTGTGTAAATACCTACATCAGGTGATTCAGAACTGGAGATGTCAGTGTAAACAACTACATCAGGTGATTCAGAACTGGAGATGTCAGTGTAAACACCTACATCAGGTGATACAGAACTGGAGACGTCAGTGTAAACACTACATCAGGTGATACAGAACTGGAGATGTCAGTGTAAACACCTACATCAGGTGATTCAGAACTGGAGATGTCAGTGTAAACACTACATCAGGTGATACAGAACTGGAGATGTCAGTGTAAACACCTACATCAGGTGATACAGAACTGGAGATGTCTGTGTAAACACTACATCAGGTGATACAGAACTGGAGATGTCAGTGTAAACAACTACATCAGGTGATACAGAACTGGAGATGTCAGTGTAAACACCTACATCAGGTGATACAGAACTGGAGATGTCAGTGTAAACACTACATCAGGTGATACAGAACTGGAGATGTCAGTGTAAACAACTACATCAGGTGATACAGAACTGGAGATGTCAGTGTAAACACCTACATCAGGTGATACAGAACTGGAGATGTCAGTGTAAACAACTACATCAGGTGATACAGAACTGGAGATGTCTGTGTAAACACTACATCAGGTGATACAGAACTGGAGATGTCAGTGTAAACACTACATCAGGTGAAACAGAACTGGAGATGTCAGTGTAAACACCTACATAAGGTGATACAGAACTGGAGATGTCTGTGTAAACACTACATCAGGTGATTCAGAACTGGAGATGTCTGTGTAAACACCTACATCAGGTGATACAGTACTGGAAATGTCAGTGTAAATACCTACATCAGGTGATACACAACTGGAGATGTCAGTGTAAACACACAAAGAAACACTCTTAGGAGAAGGTTTAGAGCACTTCATGGGACGTAAAGATGACCTTGAACTGAACAACAGTTTGTATCAGTTCTACTGTTGCCCAACTTTAATCAATTGTTTTCTCTCTAGATAAATATACTCAGTAAATATTTTCTTTGTGTTATCATCACTACTTTTATCGAACACACATTAAAACACACTGATCACCTTGCACATTTAGGATTCATAATTTACTTATGGAAAATTTTAAAAATGAAAACTTGGATCAGGATATTATAGTAAACAAAACAATATCATATATTATTGACATTAGAAATAACGATAAATAAAATGCAACCAGTGAGCATTTAACTGTTAGAGAACATTGTGGACAGGGGACAAATTAATATTAGAATATTAATGGAGAATTAAATACTTTTTTGTGTGAACGATTAAATAATAGATTCCCTATTCACAGCTGGGGGCGTGGATTTGGAGTCTTGTCTGAGGCTGTCTCCGTCAAATTCTGTGCTGGCTACGCTATCACTCTGGCATATGTGCATCTCAAGTTCTGTCAGTCTTGACTCTACATCCCACTGCTGTCGGTTAAGTTTAACAGTCAGAGCCGAATTCTCCCCTTCTAACTGGGCCAGCCGCTCTCGAAGGCGGGTTATCTCATTTAGCAGCATTTCTGATTGGCTGTTGTCTCTTGGAAGGAGTGGCGACAGGGATGAATGCAATGGACTGAGCGAAGCAAATGAGGGTGGCGGTGGGTGTTGCAACTGGGAATGTGATGAAGTGATGATATGTGGTGGATGATGAAGCAATGCTGGCGATGGAGAAAAACTGAGAAGTGGAGTCTGACCAAGATGTGGAGTTGTACCGTCTGATCCAAGAGGCGTAGGGTTAGGCGGTACATGAGGTAACAGTAAGCTGGGTGTTGCCGGGGGATGGAATGCAGGTGATGATCCAGGGAAATGAGAGGGGGATGCAGGATAGCTCGTGTGGGGTGGACAGAATGGTGACAGGAAGTTGATTGGCTGCCCTGGGTTGATGTAGGCCAGGTTTTGGTATCCATACTGTGCGGCTGCTTGGGATATCACAGGAGGAGCATGATGTGGTGTTAAATGTCCCAGTGATGAATGACCATTGGCAAGAGAAGCTGAAGACACCACAGCTGTGGGGTTATTTTTATGGTACCCGGTAATTTTAGGACTGGAGGGTGAAGGTGTGCTGAAGGGATTTCGTCCAATCTCCGTGCAGACTGGCGACTTTTGAGGTGGAGTTTCGGAGTATGATGTCATGCTGGAGATGGTCATGGAGATAGTCATGTTGCCCACTTGCTGTTGGGAATCTGTGGAGTGTCTACGAATTTGTTCAGTGCCACAACGAGAAATGAGGTTGTCTTCACTTTGCGTATTTGAAAGAACCGCTGTTGAATGATCATCACGGCTGGGCGCGGTTCTGTCAACACTGGATCCATCTTTGTGGATAAGGCCCACAGGAAGTGTGTGATGTCTCTGGATGATCATGGCGTCTAAGGGAGTTTGGCCAGTGCTTTCCACCAGGCCTGGAGTACTTTTGCTTCTTGCCATGGCAACTGAGACAGCACAAAGAGAAATTATAGTAAACATTTGAAAACAAGGAACATATTATAAGAGTTACATATGAGAAATAAAAAAAAATAAGTTGAGACATTTGCACATGTTATAAGAATTACATTTGAAAAGAAAAAAACATTTTCTTTTCATCCTCTTCTGGGCCCACTCTTAAAACAGGGGTAGGAGGTTGTGGTGATGTTCACAATTTGGCTGCAATATTTGTAGTTTTCAATCCTACACATCTTTTTTAAGCAAACTAGTAATTAGGTGCCTTTTATGACATGCTTGTTAGGGAGGATCTGGGTCTACTGTGATCCCCCCCCCCCCCCCCCCCAAAAAAAAAATAGGACCACAGATCATATGCAGGGAGAATAAACATTTGATAAAAATGAACATTTGATAGGAAAGTATATTTTTAGAAAAATGAACATTTAATAAGAATAAACAGTTGATAATAATAAACACTTAATTAAACAAAAACAAAAAACATGCAGTTGTGATAGAAAGGAGGCTTTGGATAAATATAAAGTTTGGATGAACATACTTTCTGAACAGTTGATTCAAATATAACTAGCATTTGGTGGGTGATGTTGCAATAATGAATGCCATAGTTACATCCCAGGATTTTCCTGGTATGGGAGCCAAGTTTATTGGTAAAAATCTGGTATGATGCAAATTATTATTATTATTCTTCCTCTTCTTCTTCCTCCTCCTCCTCCTCTTCTTCTTCCTCTTCTTCTTCTGCATATGAGACCTTTGACAGCAGAACATCTGGGTGGAAGGCAAGGGGTAGACCAAGAAAGAGGTGGATAAATAGTGTAGCTCAAACCTGCTAAATGATGAAAAAAATCCAGCACCTTAGCAACCCAGGAGGTGCAATAAAAATACAGAAAACCATAAAATGGGCTACAACCTGGTATCAGCGAGACAACAAAGAAAGAAGAGTGATTATGACTACAAGGTAAATCCTGTGTGAGCCTGGAAAGTTCTTGAGCAGGACTGACAACAGATGGAAGCAGTTGTCGGATCTGCCATTCTAGCCTGGCTCTGGTTTCCCAGTAGAGGCTGGCCTCAAATCTTTTATTCACTGCCTAGCAGGCTGATGCACCATGCTTGAAGACTGTGCACTATTTAGACTCGTCTTGTGCAACAACCTCCCATGTTTCTATGTTTAGTCTGAAAGATTTAACAGAAGATTTCAAGAGGCATTAGAACTGCTCTTCGACTTTATGGCTTCCAAGACATCGCTTGTAATCTCCGAACATTAAACTCTCACCTTTCTCTAGAGGCGCTTTCTTGTATTTCTCCAGACGCTTCACAGCAATAGCCTCAAGTTTGACCCTAGCTGCAGGGTACTCCTTGAGGACGTCCCATAGATCCTTCTTCGAGAGGCAGAAGAGGTCTGAATAGCCCACTGATCTGACACTGGCTGTGCGACGATTACCAGCAGTTCCCATGTTGAGAATACTGATTTCACCAAAGTAGCTTCCTGCAATAATAAACTTAAATGTTGAGTGTACTGATTTCACCAAAGTAGCTTCCTGCAATGATAAACTTAAATGTTGAATGTACTGATTTCACCAAAGTAGCTTCCTGCAATGATAAACTTCAATGTTGAAAATACTGATTTCACCAAAGTAGCTTCCTGCAATGATAAACTTAAATGTTGAGTATACTGATTTCACCAGAGTAGCTTCCTGCAATGATAAACTTAAATGTTGAATGTACTGATTTCACCAAAGTAGCTTCCTGCAATGATAAACTTAAATGTTGAATGTACTGATTTCACCAAAGTAGCTTCCTGCAATGATAAACTTCAATGTTGAGTGTACTGATTTCACCAAAGTAGCTTCCTGTAATGATAAACTTGAATGTTGAGAATACTGATTTCACCAAAGTAGCTTCCTGCAATAATAAACTTAAATGTTGAATGTACTGATTTCACCAGAGTAGCTTCCTGCAATGATAAACTTAAATGTTGAGTGTACTGATTTCACCAAAGTAGCTTCCTGCAATAATAAACTTAAATGTTGAATGTACTGATTTCACCAAAGCAGCTTCCTGCAATGATAAACTTGAATGTTGAGAATACTGATTTCACCAAAGTAGCTTCCTGTAATGATAAACTTGAATGTTGAGAATACTGATTTCACCAAAGCAGCTTCCTGTAATGATAAACTTGAATGTTGAGAATACTGATTTCACCAAAGTAGCTTCCTGTAATGATAAACCTGAATTGGCCACACTTTAAATTTAAAAAAAAAAAAAAAAAATTTACAAAAAAAACACTTAAGGAAAAAAAAATATTTGTATACTATTACGAAACAGCTGCTGAATAAAAAAAACCAGTGTAATTTAATCAGTGAAATGATTCAAATTGCATACACAAATACCTTAGGGTTCAACCAATAGATTGAGAGTTCTTTTACATCTGGATCATTTTTAGTTTTTAGGAGTACTGGCTTTTCTGTCAACTAATAAAAACATGCCATTGGATAATATGTGCATGTCTTTTCTTTTTAACAATATAGTTTCTGTGAAAAGTGAAGTGAAATGAAAGCTGGTTCACCAGCAGATTACCACATCTTCACATATAATCTTTACAAAGAATTGTCTAGCTCAATGGAGTATGAGTAAAAAAAAAAAACCTTTTCTACGACTTTAGGCATATAGGGCATAAAACTATATTTTTATAGACCAATCGGCACAAGATGGGTGATGTTGTCAGCATCACGCCGGCCGCCTCTACTTCACTCAGTACCCACTCAAGGCTGGGTCGACCTGGGAGCCAAGGTTATTTTTGAAAAAAGTCGGGCTCGGCCAGGGAGCGAACCCATGACCTTCTGATCCACGGCGAGCGTCTAGCCACTCCGCCGCGACTCCGCCACAGCGACTCCGGCGCAGTGAAAGAGGAACATTACTAATATGTGTCTCTATTGATGTCATAGCTCACTGCAAGAGGAACACATCAATTATGGGGTTTCCTAGGTTCTTGCAATATGTGTCTGTCCTGTATGTGATGTCATAGCTCACTGAAAGAGGACTTGCAATATGTGTCTGTCCTGTATGTGATGTCATAGCTCACTGCAAGAGGAACACATCAATTATGGGGTTTCCTAGGTTCTTGCAATATGTGTCTGTCCTGTATGTGATTTCATAGCTCACTGCAAGAGAAACACATCAATTATGGAGTTTCTTAGTTCACTGTAAAGTGTGTCTGTCCTGTTTGTGATGTCATAGCTCACTGCAAGAGAAACACATCAATTATGGAGTTTCTTAGTTCACTGCAATGTGTGTCTGTCCTGTTTGTGATGTCATAGCTCACTGCAAGAGAAACACATCAATTATGGAGTTTTTTCTTAGTTCATTGCAATGTGTGTCTGTCCTGTTTGTGATGTCATAGCTCACTGCAAGATGCATATTTAAATATCAGCTCAAAAGCAACACAGAAATGTGTTACACTGCAAGATGCATATTTAAATATCAGCTCAAAAGCAACACAGAAATGTGTTACACTGCAAGATGCGACTGAAACGAGGCAAATCCTGGATGGGTCCTACATCGTACATGTTTTCCGCCTAACTGACATTATTTTTAGAACTGAATGGAGACTCATGCCTCCTGCTGCAAACATTAACATTACAGTCCACATCACACTTGATGGAAGCTGTAGAGAGATTCCTGGCATTGTGGATACTTTAGTCAGAACACTAATTGATGAAAACACAAATGAAGGTGAAGTAGTAGTTTACAAGGAAGGATCAGTAATTCGGGACAAGCGAAGTGAATGGGCATTCACAGTTAAACTCAAGGGGGAAAACCATTAGGGAGATTAATGTCGTCTTTGCTGATACAGCTAGAAGCCTTACAATGGAAACTATAGCTGTAACGAGGGCATTGGCATGGCTTGGTACTCAAGAGTTCACACATAGGAGCATACTTAGCGACTCAATGAAAATGCTTACAAAAATCCAGGCTGGTTTTGCTAGACAAGAATAGATCGCAACACTGAGCACTTCGCAAATCGCGGCCTAACCTTCATCTTTGTGCCAGGACATGCAGGTGTTCAAGGGAATGAGGGCGCAGATTATCTTGCTGAAACTGGTTGCTATGGCTGGTCCAGTACTGGACAGAAGTGATTTTATCAATGTACTGCGCAGCGCTTACCATGACAAAGATCATGCCAAAGGGCATGACTCCTTATTCATTTCTAGACTGACGGACATGGGGGTCCAGCCTGGAGCTGCAAGAAATGAACATTTCACAAAGGGGACAAGACGTGTCACTAACCAACACAGAACAGGCGTCATCAGTCGTTGTACACTTGTGGAGCTTTTGAGGAGGAGATCAGAGCAACTATGGATCTGCCCGCAGTGCTGTGATGATCACCCTTACTAATCACCAATCACTAACATGCATATTTCCGTTAGGGATTTTATGGACACATATTTTGTGGAATTTCCTAGCTGACTGAGCTTATGCGCATGTGTATGGGATTTTGAGATGGCTGAAAACTCAAAGCTATCCGGGTACTCTAAATCTTATAGCAGACTGCACCTCCAACACAAAGGTGCTTTGGTCACTGGGCATGTGTGCACATGTATCTCGAATCCCTAGCTTACTATACGATGTATTTTCCTCAATCACTTTTGTTGTCTCATACACACCTAGTGCGTCCCTTTTGCATTTCAGAAAGGTTAGCATAGACTCATTCTGAATGTGTTCCAATTGGTTACAATTGAGACACTTTTCAGTGACTGAGTGTGTATAACATCACTTGTTCCACATCCACGATAGCTGTAGCTTTTGGTGCATAAGGTCCCCTTTTGGCGCTTAAAATGACTGCATCGATGTCTCTGTGAGGTGACAACATTTACCATGCGTTTCCTACTTCACTTTATGAAGAATACATCTATCATGGGATTTCTTACTTCAGTCTAGGCAGAAAACCTCTATCATAGGATTTCTTACTTCAGTCTAGTCATAAAACCTCTATCAT